AAAAGACAAACATGCAAATCTTTTTCCACTTCAAATCAGCAAGGTTGGGGAGTTTTTTGCTTATGGTAATACATTCCAGCGTTTTCTTTGAGAATGAAAGCATTTATCTCAAAGGTTCCAGACAGTCTGGAACCCCAAAATCAGTCCTTCCCCTAGGTGGCAGTTGGGTTCAGAGAAAAGAGAATTGGAAAACTCAAAAGCACAGGGCAAATGTAGGGGCTTATTATCTTTCTTCCTCAACTATGGAGCAGTCAAGAGAAATTAACTCTCCCATTTGTTACCCTTGGAACAGGCTTTAACTGATCTTTTGCCATGGATGGCTCAGATAATTGCTAATTAGTTTACTATGGAGGGAGGGCAGGGTAGAGACCAGTTGGAGCTCAAGTAATTAAGTCTATATTTTAAAAGAGAGAGAGAGGAGGGAGTGAGCCAGCCAGACCTTCCAGACTTGGCATATAACTTCCAGATGTTATGGGAACAACAGCGAAGGCTTTTAGACCATTATTATTATTATTTCATTTAGCCACTGAGAAATGTGTCTTTTTATTATTATATTTAAGGAGTTATACAAAGGAGGGTCAATTTATATCCATTTCTGAGTACAATGTATCTCAATGTGATCATTCCATCATTCTCCCACATCTTTCAGACCACACCTGTCCCCTTAGGTTGAGAATAATATTAGGTCATTTGCAGGAACATCGATGGACTTGGAAAAAAATTAGGTTAAGTAAGTCAGGCTTACAAAGGCCTGTGTTTGCTCTCCTATGTGGAAGTTAGATCTAAATTATAAACATATATGAAAATATAACCAGGGTATAGGTGGATTATATGAAAATTGACTAAAGCATCATCTATTCAGTGGTGTAACTGTAATGAACAATGTTCATTATGGTTTATGAAAAGGAAAATCAGGATGCTTGGGAAGGGCAAGCAGAGGAATGGAGACAAGAGGGTGGGCGAAAACAGTCATAATATTTAATGTATTTATGTGAATTAGACCATTTTCTGTAGATGGACAGAATGGAAAGGAAAGCCTCAAGACTGGTGGAAAGAAGACAGAACATGTCCACTGACTGCTGAACAAAGCCTCAGGCAGGCTACAGGTATGTTTAGCTCAATAGCGATAGCTAGCAAAAAAATAGTCACAGGGTCCTAACCCAACTGCTTCTATCCCAACACCCAGACTCAGTACATGAGCCTCAGAGGAGTTTTTCTTTTTTTTTTTTTTTTTTTTGAGTCCGGTCATGGGGCCTGAACTCTGGGCCTGGGTGCTGTCCCTCAGCTCTTCAGCTCAAGACTAGTGCTCTACCACTTGAGCCACAGCGCCACTTCCGGCTTTTTTTTCCTTTTTGCTTATGTGGTGCTGAGGAATCGAACCCAGGGCCTCATGCATGCAAGGCAAGCACTCTACCACTGAGCTACCTTCCCAGCCCCGAGGAGTTTTTTTTCTGAGCTAGCTGGCTTCTACCTTGCCGGAAGAGGTTGTTTGGTTATTTCATTGCAGTTTGTTTCTGAGGAATTCTAAATTTAAAACATTAATGCAAACTTCCTATTGTGCCAGAAAAGGTTACTAGGATTTCCATCCCTTTTAGAATTGGAGACAGGTCATTATACCAGGCAAAAAGCTATACTTTTACTTCGATGATATAAATCAAATCCAGTTTCTTTTCCTTTTTCAAACTGGTAAACACAGGGTAAAACCGAGAGGAGTTCCAGACTCAAGGTACCAAAAATATTATAGACACACCAGATGTGACTTCTCAAGTCCACTCTGCAAGCCTATCATTTTGAGGGCTTGTCTGGGAGCCTAGAAGCAAGGTAAAGATCACATCAAAGACATTTCTAGCTGTGGGAAGGCTGTTCTGGAGAAAGACATTCTGACACCTGACCCCGCCCAGGTTCTGTGACTCTAAACTCAAGCCATAATTTGAAATGCTAGAGGAAAAGAAATGCTATTTAAGGGAAAAGTTGCAGCTTCAGGACATCTCATTTTGCTTAAAAAATGGTAGACTTTGACAAACAACTGAAAAGCAGATAGATAGATAGATAGATAGATAGATAGATAGATAGATAGATAAAGATTCTTTTGTTGTGTTGGTGATTGATCCCAGGACCTTGTCAAGGAAGGTCAGCACTCTATCACTAAACTATAATCCCAACAATTAAAAATTTTTTTTACTCTCTTGTTTTGGTTGGAGGTGGTGGTGGTGGGAGGGGCTTGAATTCAGAGCCTAGGTGCTTGCTGTCACTTAGCTATTTTTGCTCAACGCTGGAGTTCTATTACAGAGCCATAACCCTATTTCTGAATTTTTGATGGTTAGTTGGAGATAAGAATCTCATGGTAAGTGGCGCTGTAGCTCAAGTGGTAGAGTGCTAGCCTTGAGCTGAAGAGCTGAGGGACAGCACTCAGGCCCAGAGTTCAAGCCTAACGACTGATCAAAAAAACAAAACAAAACAAAAGAATCTCATGGACTTCCTTGCCTGGGCTGAGTTTGAATTATGATCCTCAGATCTCAGTCACTTAAGTAGTTAGGATTACAGGTATGTGTGAGCCACCAAAGATCAGCTGAAAATTTTTTTGGAGAGATGAGAATATCTCAGCCTTCCTGCTATATTTTAAGGGTTTCAGTTATGAATACTTCAAATAAACAATAAGCTAAATCATGAAATATGTGTTAATCTTCCAAAGACAAATTTACATATTGGCTTTATATTAAGCAAATCCATTTTAAGTACTGCTGAATCATACCTATACAAATAAACCAATCTGTAGGTTAATTCTGGCATTTCTCTCTTCTAGTATGTAGCTAAACTGTTTGGATTTTCTAGTTCAACTAGATTGAGTAAATTATTATCTTTCTATGCAGTTTTCTCACTTGCATAGTTTGTAATAGCACCTCCTATTCAAACTAAATGAGTGAGTGCATCACGTTAAGCAAGAGCACAATGCCTTACATATCATAAGCACTTAGACATTTCAGTCACTCGGTGCTGACCTACTGATGGTGAAAAGCAGTGAAGAAGTTGTGATAAATGAAACAAAGAGCGAATTCTTTAGCTAATTCTTGGCGTGAAGATAGTCACTAGGAAGTTGGAGGACGGTCAGGCCTAGCAAGTGGGTTACGTGAAGACACAAAAGCTGGTCCAGGGAGCTGTGGATGATTTGTTAGAGATGGATTAGAAGTGTGTGAGAAGGGATAGAAAACACAGGCAGTACTGATGGAATCCACATGATAAGATGGAGGTTTTGGGTTGCTAGTGAACATGGGAGATTGTGTGGCTTTCCACACAATGTTTGTGAAACCAAAAAACTGCAACACCCTGAAGTGAAACAACACTATTTAATGAAGGTGTGTTGTACAAGAGTTACTAAGGGTTACTCGCTCCCTAGGAGGGAGCAGTGACTGGAGATCGTGGGATAGCCTGAGGGGCCCAGAGGTTCCATGCTGCCTGCACTAGCTCTCCAGGTGTCCTTTAGCTCCTCTGACTGGATGGCAGTTCTGGCACACACCTCTAGCATCCAATCAGTCTTCACATGCAAGTCTTCAATGGGCAATGGGTCATGACATGGTGTGAAACTGCTTGAGGCCATGGTAAGGTACACAGAACCTCTATGGGAGACAGAGGAGGGAGCTTTGTCCCAATTGCCTAGCTTGGCTCTGATTGGATTTTGATGTATAATCAGACACATAAGTTCGAGGCTTCACAAGAGTATTCTGGCAAGCCACAGTGTAGTGAACATCATTCTAGGACCTCTCAGGAGGGATAAGAATCCACTCTGTAAATGGTTACTGAGGGGATGGGAAGGTGGTTCAGTGGTAGAGTGCTTGCCTTTTATGCATGAGGCCCTGGGTTCGATTCCTCAGCACCACATAGGTAGAAAAAGCCGGAAGTGGCACTGTGGCTTAAGTGGTAGAGTGCTAGCCTTGAGCTGAAGAGCTGAGGGACAGGACCCAGGCCCAGAGTTCAGTCCCCACAACCAACAACAAAAAAAGGTTACTGAGATAGAGGGTTATGGAAATCCATTTCCTGGTCCGGGTACTTTGCTGTTTAAGCAAAACATAAGCAGGTACATTTACCCATGGTTGGATTGTATTTTGAAAAGAAAGCCAGTGAGACATAAATGATTGGAACAGAATGATCCAAATACGCAGCCTCCTTGCGGGGCACTGACCTGTTAAGATAGCCATGGTTTGTGCTGATATAGATACATATCTGCTAGCAGTGTTTAAAAAACTACAGTTTGGGTGACTTACTGAGGAATAAAATGTGTACCCTCTCAAAAAAAAACCCACCACCACCCCAAAAAAAACCCCAACAAAGGTAATACTTGCTCTCCCATTTCTAGAAAATCACAAGGATGAACTAGTGAGCTCTTATTCTGTTATAATCTATCAGTTGAGCCAATAGGTAGGTAGTAAACAGATTAGGGAGACCTCATATGAACAAGCTGTAATTCCAGCTATGCGGGAGGTGTAGGACAGAGCAGTGCAGTCAAAGGCTGGTCCAGGCAAAATGCACAAGACATTATCTGAAAAACAACTGAAACACAATTGAAGAAAATGGGGAATGGCCAAAGGATGCTTGCCTAGCAAGCAAGAGGCCTGAGTTTTCCAATACCATAAAATATGTAGTGCTGGGCACAGGTGGCTCACACCTGTAATCCTAACTACTCACGAGGCTGAGATCTGAGGATGGTGGTTTGAAGCCAGCCCTAGCAGGAAAGTCTGACTCATCTCCAATTAACTGCCAGAAAACTGGAAGTGGCACTGTGACTCAAGTGTTAGAGCACTAGCCTTGGGCAGAGGCTCAGGGGCAGTACCTAGTTCAAGACCTACAACTAACCAGGCCCCCCCCCCCCATCATTTTCATTTCAATATGCAGTGTCCTGTAATTCTGTCTTAAAAGCACAAGCATCGTGGAAAGAGAGTTTACTTCAGAATACTATAAATAATTGTATTGAATTTTATACTATAGAACTCACACCAGATTACATCTAAGTACCCCGTGCTAATTTTATTATTATATGCAAAACAGTAAAATAGCTGGGCAAAGAAAACACACAGAAGTAGGGCTGCTAGATAAAATACAAGTTGCTCAGGAAGAATAGGCCCTGGGTTCAAACCCCAAACAAGATTAAATCTGAATGTCAGATAACTTTAAATACAAGTATATTTCAAACACAACATACAGTAAAACACTGTCTGGGTACTCTACACTTTGCTAACTCTGTAAAAGAACCCTTTCTTCAGTCTATTTAAAAGGAAATGAAGGAGTAATCACAACATAAGGCACCTACAGTAAGAAGTCACAGAGAAGGCAAAGATCTCCATCACAACCACCTAAGAATACATGGGAGATGGCAACTAATGTAATTCTTCAAAATTCACTATATTTGGATCCATGGACAGGTGGTTAAATGTGTTTGGAATTCACATGTCCTGATTTAATTACATATTACTCACTAGTGATGTAACCTTGGACAAGTTACTCAAGTTAGTATGTTCAAGGAAGACGATAATACAGGCACAAAACACCTGGAACCTAAAGAAGCATTCCCTGTGTGGTAAATCCCTATAACAACTTACAATCTCATAGGGTGAGAAGGATACTTGTCACAGACAAATATTCAAATGTTTATATAATACAGTAATAGAGATATTGAATAATTTTATTTCCATGATCTATTTACACTGTACAAACACTGATGAAAAGCACCCACAAGTTCACAGTACAATATATTTACTTTAAAAATATATTCCTTTATAAAAGGTTCATAGAACACGGGCAGGTCAATATGTGACACAACTCTTAAAGCATGTCACTGATTTTGTGATACATAACAAGAATGCTTCCAAGTCCAGTCAATTTCACAATCACAGGTCACCACTGGAGTTTTAAATACATAGGTTTTAAATTAAAGCAAAACAGAACAAAAGAATTCTACAGCGGAAAATTCTGAGGCAATACTTATTAGTTCATAATTTTCAGAAATATTTGTCATAATCCACAATTTCAATTTAATCTGTTCAATAACACATTTGAACAAGTTTAGCAGTCCAGAAATTAATTCTTCTTGTCATGGTTTTTATTTTTTCTTCTTTGCCAGTTCTCCTGCTTCTACTTTGCGCTTCTTAGCAGTATGCTCATCTTTTTCATCATCTTAAAATAGGAAAGAATTTTAATGAGTACTTTTCAAAAACCAAACATGGAAAATAGTAGTTTCATTAATTTTATACCCAAAAAATCCCTCATCAACTCAGTATACCAATAAAAACAAAAATAATTTTTAGAATTATGATATTAAATGTATGTAAAATCAAGCAATATTTATTCAACTGTAGCAATATGAAATTTACTAATTGACCCTTTAGGCTCTATTAAGGTTGCTTAAAATAAGTATAGGGCAAGGTGACAGTGCAGTGGCTCATTCTTGTAATCTCAGCAACTCAGAGTATGATAAGGAAGACTGCTGTTTGAGGCTAGACCAAGCAAAAAGTTAACAAGCCAGCTTTTTTTTTTTCTAAGTTTAATAATCAGTAAGTCAGGTGTGGTGGTGCATACCTGTGACCTCAGCATGAAAAGCCTGGCAAAAATGCCAGATACTCTTGGAAAAATAACTAAAGCAAAAAAAGGGATAAGAGCATGATCCAGTGGTAGAACGCCTTGTCCCAAATCACAAGACCCTGAGTTCAGAATCCAGTACTACCCCTACATTTGTTATTTTAAAAATTATTTTATTTCTATGAAAATCACAGTTGTGGGCTGGGAAGGTGGCTCTGTGGTAGAGCCCGGGGTTCGATTCCTCAGCACCACATAAGCAAAAAGAAAAAAGCCAGAAGTGGCACTGTGGCTCAAGTGGCAGAGCGCTAGCCTTGAGCTGAAGAGCTGGGGGACAGTGCCCAGGCCCACCCAGAGTTCAGGCCCCACAACCGGACGCCCTCCCCCCCCAAAAGGAAAAGAAAATCACAGTTGTGCTGAAACAGTTGCTCTCTCAAACTCCACAGTATTTACATTGCATATATTTAAATATAATCTATACTTTTCAAGAATAGAGCGCATTGCTTTCCTTTTCAAGTATCAATTGATCATGACACCATTTAAGTGGTTACCGTCTTTTTACTTTTCAATCTTTTCTTTTCTTTTTTTGCCAGTCTTGGGCTTGAATTCTGGGCCTGGGCGCTGTCCCTCAGCTCTTCAGCTCAAGGCTAGCACTCTACCACTTGAGCCACAGAGCCACTTCCGACTTTTTCTGCTTATGTGGTGCTGAAGAATTGAACCCAGGGCCTCATGCATGAAAAGCAAGCACTCCACCACTGAGCCAACTTCTCAGACCACTTTTCAATCTTTTTCACCTCCTAAATCAACTGCTCTCTCCCCAAATCCTTGTGTATTAAGTACTCAGCCAGGTGCAGAAGGCTCATGCCTGTTTCTGAGGATCACAGCTCAAAGCTAACCTGGGGCAGGAAAGTCTGTGAGACTCTTATCTTTAGCTACCAGAGCAGAGCTGTAGCTTCAAGTGGTAGAGCTCTAGCCTTGAGTACAACAGCTCTGGGACAGCACTCAGGCTCTGAGTTCAAGCTCTAGGACTGGCATATAGGTAGAATAATGTAGAAAACACTATACTTTTAAAAATTTGAGCAAGGATTTATTTTAGTATATCAGGTATACAGAAATAGAAGAGAAACATTTTCTGTTCCCCATGTAGGAAATGAGAATTAACGACTCAAAATGTTTTAATTTTAAGGGTACAAAGTTATTTTGAGGCTGTTATAAATTGTAGCTCTTAATACAAATACACATATATACTCCATCATTTAAGTCACTTTATCAGCTCTTTTCTTTGAGGTAGTGCCTCAATTTGCTCCTAGCTTCCTATTTGTGCTTCTTCGTACGGCTGGGTTGACAAATGCACTGGACAAAGTTAAGAGCCTAGCAGACTTTTCCTCAGCCTGGAATTACAACTCTCCCTACTTCCCTACCTACCCACATTTGCCTCTCAAGTAGCTAGGATTATGACTTGAACCCAGCTTCAGTCTTGGTTTTCTGAGTTTAATGATCAAGTTTGTCCTGAATTTGTTAGGAATGGTGATATATTGAAATTACTTTCTAAATCTACTACAAAGGTATTAACATACATAGAAAAGATGATCTGAGATACTTCTGCTTTAATTCTATCACATATTTCAAGTACATTTATTGATAACAAAACCACAAACTAATGAGGTTGAAAACTAACTTCCTATAAGTGATTTGTGCAGAACTAATGCCACCTAGTGTCCCATTAAGGTATTGACTTACTATTGGCAGAAAAAATAAAAATGGTCACTGATCTGACTTTTGAACTTGTTTACTCTATGCCATATAGAGTAAGACATGGATACTGTAAAATACTATTACAGAGTGCAGATACTAGCACAAAGAACAATTTTTTCTATTACAGAAAAATAACTGTTTCCACAATGGTAATCCAAGATATATAAGCTTCAACTTATCAGTATGAATGCTCTTATGTTTTTTTGGTGCTGGTCCTGGGGCTTGAACTCAGGTCCTGTGGTTGTCCCTGAAATTTTTTGCTCAAGGCCATACTGCTCTACCAGCTGAGTCACAATTTCATTTCCCATTTTTTGTGCTTAATTGGAGATTAAGAGTCTCATGGATGTTCCTGGTTTTGAACCACAATCCTAAAATCTCAGTCTCCAGAGTAGCTGGGATTACAGGTATGAGTCACTGGTGCCCAGTAAATGAAATTTTAAAAAACTGAAGTAAAAATTACTAGCTACACACCTAGACTTTTATAGTTAATGTCACCAAAGCTACTCATACTATCTTATTTATCTACTCAAACTGTCTTACTTATCCATATTTCATAGCCATTAAACAGAAGTTCTGATAAGCAGGAGTCAATAATTAATTCCCAGATCCTCCTCTAAAGTCTCTGCCCCCCCCCCCCCCCCCCCAACGGCAGCAAATGTACAGGCAAGGCAAAATAAAACTAACTTGATAATCTAAAACACAATTTTCTGAGCATCTGTGGCTCGGGTCTATAATCTTAACTACTCAGGAGGGTGAGATCTGAGTATGCTGGTTCAAAGCCAGCTGGGCAGGAAATCTTGTGTGAGACTTAGCTCTAATCACAGAAAATGCTGGAAGTGGCACTGTGGTTCAAGTGGTAGAGTGCTAGTCTTGAGCAAAAAGAGCCCAGGGATGTCTACACCCAGAGTTCAAGCCCCAGGGCTGGCAAAAATAAAAACAAGAACAAACCCCAAAACAGCCGCCCCCCAATATAAGAATATGAAATTTCTTACATGTGATTCTTCATAAATGATAAGTAAATCCAGTGGCTAAAAATTTTTTCAAGGAAATTGAGATTTCTAGTGACTTGGTGGACATGATATAGGAGTTTTTATTTATTTATTTAGGGTCCAGTTGTGGGACCTGAACTCTGGGCCTGGGCGCTGTCCCTCAGCTCTTCAGCTCAAGGCTAGCACTCTACCACTTGAGCCACAGTGCCACTTTCGGCTTTTTTCTTTTTTTTGCTTATGTGGTGCTGAGGAATCGAACCTAGGGCCTCAGGCATGCAAGGCAAGCGCTCTACCACTGAGCCACCTTCCCAGCCCTATAGGAGTTTTTAATGGTAACAATTACTTGAAAAAAAGGAAGCCATTGTTACAAATGAAGAATAGCCAATACCAGTACCAAAACTGAAGAATTTAGAATTATCCAGCTTTATATGGCCAAAGCTTGTGTTTTTGTCTTTTTTGCTTACATTCACATTCAATAGAGGACCATCATATGATCAGAGCAGAAATGATCTGTGTCAGCAGCAGCAGCAGCATTAGCCATCACTTTCGTAAAATTATTTTCAACTAAATTCAAAAGTTCAAGAAGATAATGCTCATCTTTTTTGGCATATAATCCACAAAGAACAAAGCTATATAAGAGTACCAGCATACAGCAATCTAGTTTAAATATATGTCCAGTGTGTCTTCACTGCCATTTTTCCTAGGAGAGCTATTATCTCAAACATTCTAGCTTATAAAATGTCAAGAGACCAAACTTCAGCTTGCTAAGGCAAATTCCTTTTAAAATGCTGCATTTGAAACCCTATACTATGGAACTGGGAAGGTGGCTCAGTGGTAGAGCGCTTGCCTTGCATGCATGAAGCCTTGAGTTGATTCCTCAGCACTACATAAGCAGAAAAAACCAGAAGTGGCACTATGGCTCAAGTGGTAGAGTGCTAGCCTCAAGCTGAAGGACAGTGCCCAGGCCCAGAGTTCAAGCCCAGGACTGGCAAAAAAAAAAAAAAAAAGATAAAGAAAAAAAGAAACCCTGTTTATAGCTGTTTGAATTTAGATAAAATTTAAAAGGATAAAATTAGATAATATCTAAGATTGTTTTCTCTTCTGTAAAATAGTAATAATCATGTGATGTGCCACTACCATATCAGGTTGCTAAAATAATAAGTTAGCAAATTAGAGCTCAGCAAGTCTTGTTTCATGACCACAGACAAGTCACATAAGCTCTTTTCTACATTTCCCTATATGGTTTTTACAAGGCTTTATAAAAGACTACTTCTGTAAAAGTATTAATATTACTCAAATGCTCATTTAAGATCTCAAAAAAAATTTTAGGGATGTATTTCATTAGTGACTTCTACTACATGGGAAATCAGTGGGAGAAATAGAAAAGATCCAAAACTGGTTAAGACTCTTGCCAGTTAGTTGCATTTTAACAACAAAAAAACAAGCAAGCAAAACCTATCTCTAAGTAAAGGGGGCTAAATATAAGTAGCCTTTATATTATGTGAAGACCAGAATTCTGCTTAAAAGGCACATATTATCTAAAAATGGTAGAGTCTAAATCACTAAGTGAAGTCATACAATAAATACTTACGAGGCATTAATAACTACAACTTAACATACAGAAGATCAGGATCCTGCTGTTGATGTTCATAAAAGACACAGATTGATGAAAAAATAATCACACAGGTGGTAAATGAAGCAAGCAGTATTAGCACACATAAGATATAAAGCAGTAAATTAAGCCAGGTGCCGGTGGCACATGCCTAGGCTACTCAGGAGGCTGAGATCTGAGGATCGAAGTTCAAAGCCAGCCCAGGCAGAAAAAATCCACGAGACTCATATCCAATTAACCACCAGAAAACTGGAAGTGGTGCTGTGGCTCAAGTGGTAGAGTCCTTGCCTTGAGCTGAAGAGCTGAGGGCCAGCGCTCAGGTCCAGAGTCCAAGCCCCACGACCCACACACACACACAAAAAAGAGTAAATTACTAGAGATTTTTCCTTTTGGCTTGGATTTTGAAAGATGAATTTACTAGCTACAGGAAAAAGAAATTTCAGATCAAGAAGCAATATACATCAAATGTCAGGGCACCATAGATCAGCACCATCTATTTATTCAGTTCCAAAAGATCTTATAAAGTAATAAAGGGAAGAAGGGACCTTAAAAATAATGGTGACAAGACAGGTGCCAGTGGCTCATGCCTGTGATCCTAGCAACTAAGGAGACTGAGATCTGAGCATCATGGTTCGAGGCCAGCCCAGGGAACAAAAGTCTTTGAGACTCTTATCTCCAATTAACCAGCGAAAAGCTAGAAGCAGAGCTATGGCTCAAGTGGTAGAGCACCAGGCTGGAGCAAAAATGAACAGGGACAGTGCCCCAGGCTCTGAGTTGAAGCCTTAGTACTGGTATTACATACATACATACACACAGATATAAAATGGTGATGAGAGAAGCAGGGCCTATCACAGAAAGACCTGACTCCATTCTGCTGCTGATGCTCAAGGCAATCAAGTTCGAATCAGATCTAACTATTAGAAACAATACTAGCTGCAATGTGAAGAACTGGGAAGGAGATAACAATTTGAAGGCAAAAATTACTGTGGTAGTACACCTAAGAGATGAAATTATGACACTATAAACACAAGTAAGAGAACTAAATCATTATCTCTCTCTCTCTCTGTGATGGGACACAGGACCTCCTGCCTGCTAAGCAAGAGAACTAAATCTCCCTCCCTTCCTCCTCCTCCCCGCTCTGATAGTACATTGGACCTCCTGCCTGTTAATAAGCAAGAGTCACAACTCCGGGCTGGGAAGGTGGCTCAGTGGTAGAGTGCTTGCTTTGCATGCATGAGGCCCTGGGTCCCATTCCTCAGCACCATATAAACAGAAAAAGCCAGAAGTGGTGCTGTGGCTCAAGAGGTAGAGTGCTAGCCTTGAGCTGAAGAGCTGAGGGACAACTCCCAAGCCCAGAGTTCAGGCCCCACCACAAAAAGACCAAAATTAACACCTCCAGCTCCTTGCATTGGCTACTTTTATGTTAGTCTTACTTTATGCCCAGGCCAGCTTGGGCTATCATCTTTCTTACCTTTCCCCCTTGTCACTGGGGATGTGAAGAGCAAGGTGTGCCCAGACACTGTGCTTCCTCCATAATTGGGGTAATAGGTGCAAGCCACTGTGTCCAGCCATTGCGTGAGAGGGAGTCTCTAGGATTTCTTTTGCCAGGTTCTGGCCTCAAACTAAGATTCTCCAATCTTGACCTCCCAAGTGGCAAGGACTACAGGCCTGTAGCACCCCTGCCTGACTCCACATTACTTTCTTGTTACTATGCAGTAATGCTCAGTTAAATCAAATTCAGCCCACTAATTTTAGTTTTGAAACAGCTTCCATACAAACAGAACCCTTCAGCACTTCACAGCTGTAGTCACAAGCAGTCACGCATTAATCGCACTGTTCTAATAATAATGCACTACGAATCACATTAAACTACTGGCTAAACTATCTATAGAGACTTCACTGTAAAACAGAATATGATCTTTCTCATGAACAGGCCTGAAAGTATCCATTTATGAAGTACCTCATTCTTTCTTTTTATGTCCCTCACAAGAACCACAACTCCTACAAGACAGCCTGGCCATCCTTACCTGATTCCACTGTCTCCTCCCCTTCAGGGAGAAGCCTAGCTTTCTTAGCATTCTGTGGGGCATCGTCACCATTGTCCTCATATATGTTGGACCATTTTATTGCCATATCCAGCTCTGGAGGCGGGGCTTTCTTCTCGGTAGTGTAGGTTTCCGGAGGAGGTACATAGTTTGATTTCCATACTCTGAATTCCTTGGGAGGCTGTTAATTAAGCACAGTAAGACGCCCGGTGACGAACCGAGGTTCTTAGGATGTGTATGAGCACATGCACCTCCCTGCCGTTCGCTTAGGGTTCTGGCTTTTTTGGCTCTTTATTTCCTTCCAGGTTTAAGGCACAGTTATTATTATTATTATTATCATCATTTTTTTCCACGAAAACCACAATAATTCTGTTCAGTGATAAGTCAAAGGGCTCCCTATGGGAAGAAAGCTAATAACTTTTTAGTTACCAAAGAAGAATCCAGTCCCAGACATTAGGCCGAGGCTGACCCCTTCAGGAGGCTGCAGCAGACACTGTCCGGGAGGCAGCACAGCAGGCACGTTCGGCGTCAAAGGGGAGGGGTCTCGGGGAGCAGCTGCAGCGGGGGAGGGGGCGGGGGAGCGCCCCGCCGGGGGGGGGGCACCGAGCGCGGGGGCGGGAGGCTCTCCTCGCAGGGGGCGGGGCTGCGGGTCCAGTCTGACACCCACCAGGTGGGGGGGGTCGGGGCTCCCCAGGGGCTGGAGGGGGGGCGGAGCGGCGGGGGGGGGTGGCTGCGTGTGCGGGGTGGGCGGCGGCCCCCGGGACGCGGTCTGGAGGCGGGGTCACGGTCGGGGAGGGCCGGGGCCGGGCCTCACCTCCTCGGGCGCCTTCACCACGCGCCTCTCCCAGTCGATCTGCTTGTTGAGCGGGTTGTAGAGGAAGGCGGGGCGGGCCACGCTGCGGAACAGCTCCTCGGGCCCCGGCAGGCGCTTCTCCGCCCGGCTCCCGCCGCCGCCGCCGCCGCCCGCGGACTTCGCCGGATCCGAGGTCTGGCGGCTTGTCTCCTCCGGCTCGCTGGGATCCTCCTCGCTCGAGGACTCCGAGCTGCTGCTCCCGTAAGCCGCAAAGTAGCTCAGGGGATCCTTCTCCTCCGCGGCCATGACGGCGGCGCGCGACGACCCGGGACGCGGCCGGAAGCCGGAAGTTGGGAGCGGCTGCCGGGCCCGCCCCGCGGTTGGCCCCGCCCCGTGCCTGGCTATTGGCTGGTGCTGGGCGCCCTCTGGCCGCCGCGCGGCACTACCACCCGGCTGAAGGATGGAGCGTGAGGCCCTGGCCAGCACTTGCCAAGCAGGGGCTTCTTTTGCCCGTTCCTGAGAAGCCCGAGGAAGAGGAGGTCCTGAGCCAACCCGTCGACACTGACTAAAGGCTTGGAGACGGCAAGAATCTCAGCGGGCGGCGGTGGCTCACGCCCGTCATCCCAGCTACTCCGGAGGCTGAGATCTGAGGATCACGGTTCAAAGCCAGCCTGGGCAGGAAAGTCCCTGAGACTCTCACCTCCAATCAACCACCAGAAAACCGGAAGTGGCTCTGTGGTTCAACTGGTAGAGAGCTTGCCTTGAGCTGAAGAGCTGAGGGACAGCGCCCAGGCCCAGAGTTCAAGCCCCACGACCAACAAACAAAAAAACCTTGTCTTCCGTGGAAGTGCAATTGCCTAAAAATAAATAAGGCTCTGGGTTGGATTTCTAGCCCTTCAAGAAAACAACAATAAAACCATTAAAAAGAAGAAGAAAAGGAAAAGAATACACTGCCAGCCCTGCCAGAAAAGTTTGTGAGACTTGGTCTGGGAAGGTGGCTCAGTGGTAGAGTGCTTGCCTTGCATGCATGAGGCCCTGGGTTCAATTCCTCAGTACCACATACACAGAAAAAGCCAGAAGTGGTGCTATGGCTCAAGTGGTAGAGCGCTAGCCTTGAGCTGAAGAGCTGAGGGACAGCGCCCAGGCCCAGAGTTCAGGTGCTACAACCGGACCCATCTACAGAATAACAAGCAAAGGTGGAGGTGGTAGAGGAAGAATGCAATGAGGCCCTGAATGCAGTGAGCCCCATTTCTACCGTTACAACAGCAAAAAGAACCAGACCTTCACTGGAGGCAGACCCCTCTCCCATCCCCCCCCCCCCAAAGACACACACACACTCCCATTCAAAATCGAGTTCTTTCTGGCTTGAACAGTTTCTGATGGAAATTTCCTTGGATGGTATCTCACCTCTTCTTGCTTCCTCCAAACCCTCTGGCTTGTCCCGTCAGCCTCTTTTCATGTCTGCTATTTATGATCCTAGATGTTGGTGTTTCCCAATGTAGCATGGTGCTACAAATTTGCATGGCGGTCCATCACTTTTCTTAGCATTAACTATATATGCCGTGATTCCCAAATCTAGGATCTTAATGCCAATCTTTCTAAAGTATCAGATCCAATTGTTAGTTCCACCCAGGAGAAATGACCCCTTCCCTTTGTTCTCTCCCGGTCCATTGGAAGTCCCTGCTCAGCAACTGGCAGGCCTGGGGTCCGTTGGGAGGTCCTCTAGACTCCGGGGTCATTTCCTCATTTCCCTCATTAGCTGCGGCCACACCTCTTCCTCACCCTCCCTAATTTAATCTCTCCTCCCTCCATAAACTTTCTCTCTCTCCCTCCCTCCGCGTGCCTTCATCTCCAGCTGGCCAGCGATTTGGTCTCTCCCTCTCCCGTTTGAACCACGGCCTGAACTGCATAGGAGTCTCCTTCCAGCAACCCTAACACCAATCTCCCCTCGCTTATAAATTTATCATAGGAACATCTGCCTGGGCCTCAATGTTCTGTTTAGTGAGGCAACCAGTACCTTATCCCATATGTAACTTGTGGCTACATTTATGTTCCCTCTCTTAGCCAATGACATAATCTTGTGGCTAGTCACCAGGGAAACCAAAGATTTTTACTCTTCCTGGGAAACGAGAAGGGGCTGCAAAAGAAGTGGGTGTAAACGCTTAGACCTCAGGTATGGTTGCCTGTTCATTCAAGTGAAACTCTCATAACAGCACATTCCTCTCTAGAGGTAGACACCACAGGGACAAAGACAAATCCATCTTGTTCATGCCTCTCCTACCCCTGAGCTTTTTTTTTTTTTTTTTTTTGACGAAGGTTAGCACTGTACCATTTGAGCCACAGCTCCACGTTCAGCTCTTTGGTAGTTAATTGGAGAGAAAAGTCTTGCAGACTTTCCTGTCTCGGCTGGCTTCAAAGCAGGATCTTCAGATCTCAGCCTCCTGAGTAGCTACAGGTATGAGCCACAGACACCTGGCTACAATTATTATTGAATAAAATTAGCATTCTTAAGATAATCATGTTTGTTCTATGGCTTTTATGACTTGTCCACTCTTCCCTTGAGTGTGACTAGGGATGGGGACATGAATCTTGTTGACAAACCTTCCAATATTCCATATGACCAGACTACTTCTAACTTGAAATTTCAAAAAGTGACAATAAAACCTATGTTGTAGGAGTTTTAGGATTTTTTTTTAAAAAAAGGATTATAAATTTGAAAACAGCAAACATGGTATTTGGCATCCAAAGCTGTGGTTCCCAAATTCTGCGGTATATGATCCCACAGTGAAACATTCAGACTTCTGCACGCAAACATTCATTTGTGATAAGTGCATGCATCCTGGAGAGTAGGATCTTTAAAAGCTCCTGTTGATTCCAAAATAAGCAACAAGTTTGGAAAATACTGCAACAAAAGACAATTTCTGATCATTTAAATAATACGGCAATTCAGGGTGGGAATTTTAAGAGCAGCATTGAAGTTAGGTGTTCTTTTTTTTTGTCGGTCGTGGGGCTTGAACTCCGGGCCTGGGTGCTGTCCCTCAGCTCTTCAGCTCAAGGCCAGCGCTCTACCATTGAGCCACAGCGCCACTTCCGGTTTTCTGGTGTTTATTGGAGCAGGAGTCTCACGGTCTTTCCTGCCCGGGCTGGCTTTGAACCGTGATCCTCAGATCTCAGCCTCCTGAGTAGCTAGGATTACAGGTGTGAGCCACCAGCGCCCGGCTAAGTTAGGTGTTCTTATTGGTACTTAAAATCAGTCCTCAGAGCCCTCAGATTTCAGCCTCCTGAATAGCTAGGATTACAGGTATGACCACTGGTTCCCTGCTTTCCCTCAAGATTTTAGAGAACTAAAGGATTTTAGGACAAAAAGCAAGATTTTTTTAAATCTCCTATTTTGCCATGTTTGACCTTGCACTGTAAGTGATATGCTAACCAAAGATGAATGGTATCTTCAGAAGTGAATACATAAATAAACACCTGGAGGAAACTTATGTGCATATTACAAAGTGAAAGAAACTAGACTTCAAAGGCTGAATATTGTATGATTCCAACTACATGATATTTTGGGAAAGATAAAAAGACTGGTGTTTGCCAGGGTTGGGACAAGAGGATAAACTGGTGGGGCACAGAGGACTTTAGGGCTCTACCTACCACTCTACCACTTTAGAGTGCTAGCCTTGAATGAAAAAGCTCAGGGACAGTGCCTAAGCCCTGAGTTCAAGGCCCATTACTGACAAACAACGATAAAGGAAACAACAGTGTAACTAAGATTGGAATAAAAATCTATCAACTGTAGCAAATGTATCATGTCAATGGACATATTAATATAGGAAATGGGGATGGAAAATTTGATTACTTTTTGTTCTGTGAACCTGTAACTACACCATATTTATTTTTTAAAAGCCCTTAAAAAAAGTAGCAATCCAAAAAGTAAGGTTTTACTGCTGCATTAATGAACTTAGTAATTAATAATGAACTTACATTTTTACCATGTCAATCTAATATCCCAATTTACAGTTTTGGGAATGGCCAGTTGTAGTGTTTAAAGGGGGAAAAGTGTCAAGCACTGCTGTGCACACAATGTAATCTTAGCATTCAGGATACAGAAGCAGGAAGATTACAAATTCAAAGTCAGCCTGCTGGTATGTATAGTAAAAGTAAGACCCTGTCTCAAAAACCAAAAGAGGAATTGATTCTTTTTCCTTGGTGCCAGAACTGGGGCTTGAACTCAGAGCCTAGGCCCTGTCCCTTAGCTTTTATACTCCAGGCTTGTGCTCTATTACTGGAGCCACACCTTCACATCTAACTTTTTTGGTGGTTGAGATAAGAGTCTCATGGACTTTTCCTACCCAGGTTGGCTTTGAACCATCCTCAGAATTCAGCCTCCTGAATAACTGGTTTACAGGCACCATTTCCTGACAGGCATAGATTTTTTTTTTATATTGGATCCCCAAACCCGATATTTACCTAACAGTCTTTTTTTTTTTTTTCAGGTAAGGGGTAGGTTTATTCATCCTTCTGGCTGGCACCAGGCCATGCTGGCCCTCCACATGGCTGGGAAAGGCCTGGGAATGAGGGCTGGGAAAGAGAAGGAAAGAGCTGAGAAAAGAGCTAGAAAAGAGAGCATCTGGGAAAGGTGGGAAAGAGAGAGGAAAGAGGAGAGAGCTGGGAAAGAGAAGAGAAGGAAAGAGCTGAGAAAGAGCTAGAAAAGAGCAGAGAGAGAGTTACCTAACAGTCTTAAAGAAAGCCCAATGCTAAAACTTATAATATAGGTGCTATGGTATATTTAAATTTTGATCTTTGTTTTCTCTCCTCTCCCTCCTTTGTCTTTGTCCTCCTTCTCACTTTTTCTCCTCCACTTCTGCCTCCTCTTCTTTTTGAGATAGGGTCCTTTTTGTATAAAAAATAGCACATATAAAAAAAAGTGTGAGCCATTTGAAAATTGGACATTTTGTTTTACACTTTTCTGTTTTAGGCCCTAAAATATATCTCTCTACTGTTAAAGAAAAACACAAAAACTTTTATTGTTAATAGCAACTTTCCATCTCTAGCTTTTTATATAATGAAAATATATAGAACATAGATCTCAGGAGACAGGTAGAAATTGTAATTTAAATGAAAATAATCATAGCAGAAGACATAAATGTATAAAATCACCTAGATTTTGTTATTCAACAAAAAAGATAAATCTGGCTAATGGCCTGCTTATTCCAAATAGTATCAAAAATAGACTTGATGCATATATCTTTGTGTATATATACACACACACACACACACACACACACACACACACACGCACACATGTATAGCACATATATAAAAAGTGAGCCATCTGCAAACTGGACATTTTGTTTTATACATTTCTGTTTTAGGCTCCCAAAATATATCTCTATTGCATGTTAATAAAACCCTTTTATTGTTAATAGCAACATGTATATGTGTGTGTGTGTGTATATATATATATATATACACACACACATATACTCTAAGTTTAGTTGTTAACTTATTAAATAAGCATAAAAAATCCAAAGTATTTTTTAAAAATCACATCAAATTACATGTAATACACAGATATTTTTCTTTGGAATAAAGCAAAGATGTAAGTTTTAAAAAAGTAACAATTAGTAGTATTAGTAAGAAATAAATTTTGGTAAATTGAGATGTTACATGGCTAAACTATACCAGGTGTTTCTCTAGAATCAGGAGATCTTGTGAGAACAACTGAGTGAGAGATTTTTTTCCTAGTACATTGGCAGTATCCCTGCAACTGCTGGATTTACTACCAAAATAACAACAGCTTATTTCTCAAAATTTACTGCCTACTAGACTGAACATTTCTAGCACAAATGCATTGAGAAACATTATTTCCAGTGTAAAAATCTATCCCCAGTTGGAGCCAGGGTTTGTGCTTGTAATCCTAGCTACTCAGGAGGCTGAGATCCGAGGATTGCAGCTTGAAGCTGGCCTGGGGAAGGAAAGTCCATAAGACTCTTATATCCAATTAATCATCAAAAAAGCCAGAAGTGGAGCTTTGGCTTAAGTAGTAGAGTACTAGCTTTGAGCAAAAAAAGCTCAGAGACAATGCCCAGACCCTGAGTTTAAACCCCAGAATCGGCACCAAAAAAAAAAAAAAAGGATATATATTATATACATTATAATATGCTATATATGTTATATATATTATATAATACGTTATATATTATATATTAATATATATTATGTTATATAATATATTATAATAACATATATCTTAATTATATATTATATAATTATACATAATATATTATAATTATAGTTATATATTATATATAATTATATAATACATATTTTATATGTATAATAAAATATATTATAATATGTATATTATATATAATATAACATATATTACATAATATATTATATATAACATATTATAATATATATATCCTGAGAAATGTTCTGTTAAAATTAGTCTCGCAGTATAAAAAAATTGAAAAATACTGAAATACCTAAAAAAGAAAGAAAAATACTGAAAAGGACACGACCAACATGATTTACATTCAGTTATTCCTAAAAGCAAAAATTCTATTTACAAACTATGTTTAAATTATGTTTTAAAAGACATGTATCAAATGTAAGTAAATCAATATAGCAGTTTTACAAAAAGATTACATTGTTTAAAACATTTTTTGTCACTAGTTAAAAAATCAAAAGGCAGTCAAGTGTCACTGTCGTGAGACAGTGCGTGATCGTAAGGGAAGAAACAGCTCACTAGAGTTTCCACAAGTTCCTCCATCTTCTAACTGCAGCTCTGGTGGCAAAGGAGGTGCCCCAGGATCCCCAGGTCTAGGAAGTGTAGTTGAGGAGAAGTTGCTATTTTCAGTTCTGCCTACTTCCAGGACAGGCAAATTAAGAGAAGAATCCGTAGAAAAAAAGGGAGCCGTGTTGGATTCTCCGTCTGGATGGTATGTGACGGTGGATGCTCTACGTTTTTCAGAAAAATTACTCTCATCTGAATTTGATCTAGCCAGGTTGTTCGTGGCTCCATCAGGAAAAGGCTCACAGCTGCTACATTGTAGGCCTACAATAAGATTATTCAGATGTAAATGAAAAAGGAACAAAAAAGAAATGGAGTACACTCCCACCTTAGACGTTCATATAAATTGTTAAGCTAGTTACTGCACTTCAGAATTTATAAATTCTGTCATAATCTTTTTCAAATTTCATTTGCTTTTCTTAACAACTATACCATTATTTGCACTTTCTAGATAAGGAAAGCATCTCAAGATTGTGAAATGAAATGCCAGAATTTAATTTAATGTACACTTGTATATTTAACTATTAAAGGACCTGGAAAAAAAATCAGTTCCTGAAATTTTTCATAAGAAATAGGTTTGGAAATAAAAACATTTATGTATTTATGCATTCATTCAATCATTTTTGAAGGTCTACATAGATCAGGCTGGCCAAATTAATAATCCTCTTAGTCTTCCAAGTACTGGGTTTCTTGGCAACCTATCCATCTAATAGATATTCTTTAGTATTCTGATACGAAGACTATTGTCATGTGCTAAAATTCAATAAGCCAATCAATAGCAATTACTGATTCTTTGTGTGTGTGTGTGTGTGTGTGTGTGTGTGTGTGTGTGTGTGTGTGTGTGTGTGGGCACGCACGCACATGCACACACTGGTCTTGGGCTTGAGCTTATGATCTGGGCACTGTCAGTAAGCATTTGTATTCAAGGCTAGTGTGCTACCATTTGTGCCACAACTCTATTTTCTACTTCTTGGTAGTTGATTGGAGATAAAAGTCTCATGGACTTTCCATGCCTAGGCTACGTTTGAACTATGTCTTCACATCTCCACCTCCCAAGTAGCTAGGACTTACAGACATGAACCAGCTGGCACCATTACTGATTCTTGAATCATAAAGTGTCAGGACTCAAAAGATTAGAGGTCATCTGAAATATTCTCTCAATATTACTATAAAGATGAGAAAACAGATACCCAACAGGTTACTCCAGGTAACGCTCTAGGCCTTTTTTGTGGCAATGTGAGAGCTACAATTAAATAGATAATGTCCTGGTTCTCAATCAGGTGGTTATTCCCATTAAAGAACTTTTTTTATATTCAAAGGGTATAGTGAACAATTAGCCTCAGGATTGAAAGATTATATGTAAGCACATGTATCTTTTTTTTTTTTTTAGTCGGTGTAGGGCTTAAACTCTGTGCGTGGGCACTGTCCCTGAGCCCTTCAGCTCAAGGCTAGTGAACCATAGCGCTACCTCCAGCTTTTTCTTTTCTTCTTTTGAGTGTTTCTTGGATACTTTCATAGACTTGCCTGTTCAGGCTGGCTTTGAACCACAATCCTCAGATCTCAGCCTCCTAGGATTACAGGCATGAGCCACCAGCACCAGCCCAACTACTTTTTATAGTCAAATGGTGGAAGAAAAACTAGCAGAGTTGGACTTATTAAATACTTTATCCTGTATAACCTGTATGTGTTTTGTTCTCTGCTTTTTGTAAAAAAAACAAATTATGTAGCTCAGGCTGACCTTGACCATTTAGCCTTGATCAAGATGATCATCGAGATCATCTTATCTCCTAAGTATATATCATTCTTATATGTGACATACAGTGGATTTTCCCCCAGAGGTTATCTTTCAATAGATTAACTTCAGAAACAAACCCTCATGCATACTGGGATTTTATTTTAGTAAATGGCATTCTTGTTTTTTTTGTCAGTTGTGGGGCTTGAACTCTGGGCCTGGGCGCTATCCCTTAGCTCTTGAGCTCAAAGCAAGCTCTCTACCACTTGTGCCACAGGGACACTTCTGGTTTTCTGAGTGGTTTATTGGAGATAAGAGTCTCAAGGACTTTCTGGCTGGGCTGGCTTTGAATGGTGATCCTCAGATCTTAGCCTCCTGAGTAGCTAGGATCAGGCATGAGCTACTGATGCCCGGCTAAATGGCATTCTTAAATGAGTGTTAAGTATGGCCTGTCAGTGATGTTTCATGTTTGCAAAGTAATGACATTTTTTAAATGTAAATTGGATATAAGCCTGAAGCTTAAACTTCTACTTTGCTTTTGTAGCTTTTTATTTTTATTTTATTTTATTTATTTAATTATTTTTGGGTCTGGTTGTGGGGCCTGAACTCTGGGCCTGGGCGCTGTCCCTCAGCTCTTCAGCTCAAGGCTAGCACTCTACCACTTGAGCCACAGCACCACTTCCGGCT